TTGCATGCAAAATTCAGGTCATTACAATTGGACGAGAAAGATACATTGTTGGTGAAGCATTATTTCAGCCTTCTATATTGGGTTTAGAAGCGAATGGAATTGTTGAGCAGCTGGTACATAGTATATCCACTGTATCTTCTGAGAATCACCGTCAGCTTCTGGAAAACACAGTGCTCTGTGGTGGCACATCTTGCATGGCTGGTAAGTCAAAGACCGAGAACTTCCCAACTTACGTACGTTGATTGAGTGCTGGAATGCAACTATTTTTTGTGAAATGCATAAAATCTAAAGCATAAAGGAATTTCCCTTAGTTTTACCTGGTGGTTGTCTGGTAGGTTCTATTTGATTGTCACAAATCATGATAAAAAAAATAAATAAATAAAATAACGCACAATCGCAACAAATCTTGTTTATACTGGTTCTTATTGTTTGTAAATGCTGATCACCAGTAAATCTAAATTTGTTTTTCAATTTACACTTGAAAATTATATTTCTAGCTGTTCACAATCCCCTCATTCTGAGCATTTCTAATGGCCAAGTGAATATTGTGATTTTGTGTGGATTCAATGTTACATGGAAGTGTAATAACAGTGATACAGGATTTTGGTGGTCATACTGGTCATGTGACTCCAAAGACTTATAAGTTCTATTAGCTTTCAGATCAATGATTAAACAGAAACAATTACTGTATTTTCTATTTTGGGTGTAAGCCTCGAAGAATCTTTTTGCAAATTTTCATTACGATTAAGGCTGTGTACCTAACTCCCTCTTATCATCCTAGATTAGATCCATATCAGAGGCATTGGGACAGCAGTAATGCTTGACACAATTACACAACTCCATATCACCCTGCCTTGGGTTTCACATGGTCTAGCACTAAGGTATCGTATGATACATTCAATGCACAAAAGCACATTAAAAACTTTAGCAAGTTCTTACGAGTAGATGAACGCTAGAAGTGCTTCTTTGAATCCAAAGAATTGTGCCTGAAACCCATTTCTTCTTAGGTGGATAAGATTATTCACACCATTTTGAAGTTAATTAACTGCTGGGATATTTTGGGTCTGTTTGGCATTAGCTTTTAAGGTAGCCGTTAGCTTTTAGACCTAGTCAAAACATTACATTAAAAAAATATTTGTGTTTGGTGAAGTAATGTTTTAAGTAGCTGTTAGAGGTAGAGGTAGCTTTTATGTAGCTGTTGTTGAAAGCTAAAAAAGATAGCTTTTGAAATTGTAAAGTAGTGTTCAACCTTTTTTTTTATTTTTTTTTAATGTTTTTTTGACTCAGTATTATCTGTTTCAGTCAACCATAATATCAAAATTTTCTATTTCGTATCCTTTTTTCCTTTTCCTTTCATTGTGAGGAATATATTTTTTTCTATCTTATTTTTAAAATTGATTATTTATTTGCAATATATATTATACTTTATAATATTTAAAATTATCAAACATATGATACATAACACATCACACTAATAATAATAATGATAATAATAATAATAAATGTATTTTATAGTTTCAATCTTTACTTTTATAGAACACTCATAGTATGAACCACGATAGCTTACAGCTACCTCTACAGCTCACAAGCTACTTGAAAGCTAATAGCCAACAACTATAGCTAGTTTTGCCGAATAGACCCTTTATCTTTAAATCTCTCAACATCAGTTTCCCATCCTGGGTTTGGGACTTTGGGTCTTAACAGTGATAAAAATTAGAATTTCCAAAAATATAATTATTTAAATCTCTTCGAGTTTCAATAAAATTTCCAAAAATATTAACTCTTTCTCTTTTTAATCAACAATAAAAATTAATATTCAAATGTTTGCAGGGTTTTTCACCATCAAAGAAGTTTGGTTATTCAACATATAATTATTTAAATTGTCAAAGTTAATTACTACCTCCGTTTCTTATTATGTGCAACAAAGGAATATTTTATGTCTCACAAATAATACTCCTTTGTTGCATATATTAGGAAACGGAGGTAGTATATCAAAATATATATATTTTTTTCTTTATGCAAATTCTTGTAAATTTTGGGGACATTCAACTTTGTGAGAGTCATGTGCTTTCCCATGTTCAGAAGGGTGTGGTTTGGGAACCCTTCTATCCTTTTGATGCTAAAATTGTTCTATAATCACGTCTGAAATCCTCACTACATGCCCTTTTCCCATAGTTGACTTTATTTGGAACTCACCTTTTTTTTTTTTTTTTTTTTAAAAATTTTAATTTCTTTTATTTTATTTTTTTATGTAAATGGATGTTGGATGTAGTTGTTATACTTTGGTATATCTTTGGATGAACTCTCAAGAATCTTGACATTTCCTTGGTACTACAGGCTTTGAAGACAGATTCCAGAAAGAGTGCAACTTAAGTAGCTCAGCCATCCGTCCTTCTCTGGTTAAGGTAACATGATCTTTGACACTGTTACCAATGCCTTGCTGTATGGGATAAGTTAATTTCTATTGTTGAGTTGTGATGTTTAGATTATACTTCATATTTGTCAGAGCTGGGAGTATGTATTGCATTTCATATCCTTGTTTTGATAGATTCAAGGAAACTGATATTTTTAGTTTTGCTCTTTTAAAAGGATTCTTAAGCCCCGCACTACCAAGCCATTACTGACAGCCAATTTGTTAGACAAAAGAGATGAAATGTGACAACTCTTCTTCGTTTTAAAGATCTATGAAATATGATGCATTTTCCGTGAGATTAGGATACTTTAGTGTACCATGTCATAGAGCAAGAGCATATGTAGACCCTTTGGCTTGGCAGTCCAACTACAGTTCTGTAACAAGTTTCAAAGCCTAGCATTCAAACTGCTTTCACAACCTTTTTCATCTTCTTCGAGAAGTATTAGAGTGGCTAACCAGTTATTAAGAGAATCATGCTCACTTCTAAAGATTTGGAGGCTGCTGCTTATATTCACAGCAATTTAAGATTACTCTATAGAAAGCAGCAGTATAAAGATGGGCCATGCAAGAGTTGGGTTTTTGGTAATATAATCTATTTGTTGTTTTAAGTTATGTAGACAAATGAGATTTAATTTCCATATCGTTAACTAAAACTAGGGAAGTGAAGGATTTGCTGGTTAGTGATGCATTGGTGGGATAAACTTTTCTTGAGTTTACACTCACGATGACGAATTTTTTGAGGATTTATATGGACTCCAGTTTCTATGACATGTGGAATACAATGATTGAAGAAGTGAAGAAATTCATTGATAATCATGAAATTATGATAGTATTGCTTTCCTCATAGGTCACTCTCACTGACCCACATTTCATATTTGGGAAATTGGGAAGGTGCAAAACAAGTACAACATTACTTAATTTAGCTAATGATAAACTCTTCATCCCAAGGATCCCTTTTTATCTCTCTCATTTTCTTTAAACGGTGTGTTTGGATTGAAGGAAATGGAGGGAAAGGAAGGGAAGCGAAATAGAGAGATGGAGTATCTTTCATTTGGATAGCAAATGAGGAAGGGGGGGAATTGGAGGGGAGAGACATGGAAGGATTAAATTGTAAAAAATTAATCCCTCCAACAATGGAGAGATTTAGAAGGAAAACTCACCATTCTTCCCTTCCCTCCCTTTCCCTCCCCTCCTCTTCTCCTCCCTCCCCTTCTTTTCCTTTCCCTTTCTTTATCCAAACAAACTGTAAATCTTTGCATCTCCCCCTCTCCCCTATCCCCTCGGTTGCAATTGAAAAAGAACTTAGGAAGAATGTGATTAACATGCAAACATTTGAGTTTAAAATGTGTCAAGATGATTCTATCTCTCTTATATTGTAATTTTCTTTCCGAATTTCCATGAGTTATCTCTTGGTTAGAAATAATAGTTTCTGATAGTAGCTTGCCACATTACCTAAATACGGGAGTATGTATCTGCTGAGTTCCTTCCCTTCTTGTACTGACTCCCTTGCTCAACAGGCACCAGAATATATGCCTGAAGACTTAACCAAGTATTCAGCATGGATTGGAGGTGCAATTCTTGCCAAAGTTGTATTTCCTCAGAATCAGCATGTGACCAAGGCAGATTATGATGAAACAGGGCCTTCAATCGTTCACAGGAAATGCTTCTGAAAGTTCCAGTTAGTTCCCTGCATACTCTCAGTTTCACCTGTACACTTTGTAACATATTTTAGTAGGTAGTCATGTATTTGTTTTTGTACAAAAATCGATGTTGATCGATGTCAACTAAATGCAACCTCTTTAACAGTTATGCGTAGCATGCTTCAGTGTAGATATTATAATTGTAGCTTTACTATGTGTTAGATGTTTTTGGTAATGTAAGAATGTGTACATTCTTAAATTACTTTTTCTTGGTGCTTAAGATTTTTTCCTCAACTCATACTCCTTTTTTGTTTTGAGTTGGTTTTGAATTAAGTTGTGCATATAAGTTGGCATAATAATTTATAAGCTGAGTCTTCATACATTGATCACGTCAATTTTGAAATCTGTGAACTAGTTTTTCCGGTTTCCATAAACTAATGGAGGGAACGTAGTAGTTAGTTTACAAAAGTTTTGCAAACCGAAAGCTTCGAAATGTAACGAATAATCAATAGGATGAAAACTGCAGATCACTTTGTTTATGAACTGTATTGCTCTATTTGTGGAACAGCCCTCGCACTCTCGCAGTATAGAATATGCCAACGTGCAGACTGCTAAGCACGTCTAGATGTACTTTGTGGAGTGACTTGCACAAATTCTTGTGTTTGACCTCTGTCTTAAAATAAATGTATTATCTTGTTTTATAATATATAGTTTTATGTGTATTTACATATCATGATTTTTATTAGTAAATTAACAATAGAAGAATTATTTTTCTGATTTCATTGGAGAAATTCCAATATTTGTTTTCCAAGTATTTTAACATTCAAGAACAGCCGGCATGAACAACATATTTTGACTCACTCTTGTAAGGTGAAGTGAGGGTGTTTTCATGCTGAAGTTATCAGCAGCACGGCCAAACTCAACGTGCAATCCACAACATTCTCTTCTTATACTCTACTTTCCAAACCAACTAGATTGTTATATCTTCTTTCATTTGTTTCCAAACTTTCCAACTTTCTAACATTGATTCTTGTTTTAAATCTCACCATGCCTGCACCCCTTCGACAATCCCCGACATCATCACCACGACGGTCCCCTCCTCATCCCCCGCCTCAACATCCTCCCCCTTCACCACCTCAATCTGGATCCACAAACACACCAAACAACATGTCATTGTCACCTCAAGGACCAATATCCCTCCAAGCACCCTCTCAGAGGAAAAACCCTACTAAATCAAATAAACTCTTAAGAAGAGTACGCTCTGTCTTTAGGTCCTTCCCCATCGTATCTCCTACATGTCGAATTCCAATGTCAGGTAGGATTAATGACGGGCATGTCCATGGTGGGACCCGGATAACCGGGACACTTTTTGGGTTCCGAAAAGCAAGGGTAAACCTAGCAATCCAAGAAAATCCTAGGTGCCTCCCCATGTTATTGCTAGAGCTAGCCATCCCAACTGGGAAGCTGTTGCAAGACATGGGCTTAGGCCTAGTGAGGATCGCACTAGAGTGTGAAAAGCACCCGTCCGACAAAACCAAGCTCATTGAGGAGCCCATTTGGACAATGTATTGTAATGGTAAGAAAACTGGGTATGGCATAAAAAGAGAGCCAACTGATGATGACTTAAGTGTAATGCAAATGTTGCACGCTGTTTCGATGGGTGCTGGTGTACTGCCTAGTGGTGAAGGTGTTGAAACCCCTGATGGTGAGCTTACGTACATGCGCTCGTTTTTCGAACGTGTGATCGGATCAAAGGATTCTGAGACTTATTACATGATGAACCCAGATGGGAGTAATGGTCCTGAACTTAGCATTTTCTTTGTTAGGATATAATAGGTCACAAAATTATGTGATCAAAGATTGTATTGAACTAATTAGGGAATACAGGAGTTGCTCTAGATTTTCACTTATCCCTTTGTTACATGTATTTCATGACCAAGTGTTACTAATTTTAATGTTGTGCAACAATTTAATAGTGTTTTACATTTTTATGATCTACATAAGTCATGTAGATATGAATAGTTGTATTTGTAGATATAGTAATCAACCTTGGGGGTTTTAATTAGTTATTTCATAATTCTAATGGGTGTTAGTTTTATAATTGCAGGTTTTTTTTTTTTTTTTTTTTTTTTTTTTTTTTTTTTTTTTTTGACAAGAAAATTGCAGGTTGTTTTACATGTCCCTATTTGTTCGTCACATTTGCCAATGATGAATATTGATTAATTATATTTTTAATTATTAATAATATACTTCTTCCGTTCTATTAATATTGCAACAACGGACTTTTTGCACTATTCATCACTCTTGTTTGACCATATAATATGATTTATACGTTAAACAAAATATAGTCAAGTGGGATCTCGTTGGATTCGTCTCATAAAATACTTTCACAATATCAACTTTTTATAATTTTTACACTTACACAATTATAAATATTTAGCATATAAAATGTGTTTTGGGATGCGTAATTTTCTCCTTGTTACAATATTAACAGAACGGAGGAAGTAAATTGTAAAATGTTAGTATTTGAAAACTATACGTTGAGACAACATGCACTCATAACTACATCTTATTTTATGTATAAAACACAAACTAGAGTCAAAATGATAAATTTCCTCCATTTTTTTTAATACATGAAACTTCATACTACCTCCGTTACTTATTATGTGCAACAAAGGGGTATTATTTGTGAGACATAAAATATTCCTTTGTTGCACATATTAAGAAACGGAGGTAGTATATGTCTTTCATTCATATGTTATTATACTTTCTCCATTTTCTTTTAAATGCAACACACCTTTTTGACACAGACTTTGAGAAAGAGATTGAACAATGTAAATAGTCAAATTATTCAAAATTATTTGTGCACATAGTTACTAATGTAACCTTTCTCTAATCTTGGTGCTCAAATTGTTTTAATAAAATCGCTCGTTTATTTACTCTAATCAACTCCTAAAACACATGTCAAAAAGTGTATTGCATTTAAAAGAAAACAGCAAAAAGTAGTCTGTAGTATTTTTTTAAAGGTCTAATATATGTGTTTTTTTTTTTTTTTTTTTTTTTTTTTTTTTTTTTTTTTTTTTATATATATAGCTTTTTAACTTATTTAATTTTATACATGTATGTAGGTGTCAACGTTTGTGTAGTTAAATAAATTTATTTGGCTGATTGCGACACCGATCTTCTCCTTGGTCCGCTGGATTAGACTTTGTGTTTGATTTAGTGGATCTTAGGTTCGAAGGTTGGTAGGTGATTATGATGATGATGATGATATGATAGTGGAATTAAATGAGGTATTATAAAATACCTTTTTTTTTTTTTGTGAAATTATTAAAACTCGTATTATAATTGTAATTTTAGCATTAGAAAAATTTGTACCTTTTTCTACCATCTATTAGAACTATCTATAAGATTATACTACCCCCGTTTCATATTATTTGCAACGATTTGACATAAAGTAGAGAGGAAAAATGTCTAATCATAGCAAATAATATAAAACGAATGTAGTATTTAGTATGATTGTAATTTTTGGTATTATATATGGCATCTAATTAGCATTAGCTATATTATTATTAATTTGATGGTAACAATATATCCTCAAGCATTAACATATGTACAATCTAGTTCTTCAATAATAATGCAAATTGAACTTAACAAAAAGTAAAATTCAAAAATATGCATGCCTAGTTTTTCAAAAATAAAAGAGAACAAAGGGGGGAAAAAAGCAAAGAAATCAACTTAGCTTAACAATCAATGAAAATTTCCTTTAAAATTGGCCGTACTATTTCTCCAAGTATTGCTCCTCAATTCATCATCCACTATTGGACCTCCTAGACGATAAACTTTCAAAGCTCCAAACTAACAATGGAAATTAATGAAAAAAAGAAGAGATGAAGGCCAAAATTGAACTCATCAAATCAAACCAACAGATTACAAAATCATACAAACTAATACAGCAGCTCGACAGGATTAGCACTTGTATTTCGACATACTGAAAGATGCAAATCCTAAGTCTACAAAAGCCTAAAGAATATCATCGTGCTATTATCGCTACATTAACACACACCATGCTACTGCTACAACAAGATTGAGGGGATCATCAGAGATCAGGAAATGAGTTTCTCTTGAATCTTGTGTTTACTTTGGAAGATTATCTCGGATCAAAAAAACCAGGACCAGCCTTTGAAAGAAGCTCCTTTCCAGCGTCTCTTCCCATTGCTACCATATCATCGAAAGCGTATGAACCCCTTCGAGAAGTCTCAATTACTGCAAGATATCATAAAACAATTTAGCTCCCTCTGTCCAAATTATTTGAATACTACTCTATAGTTTGCTCGATATTTTTGAACTTCTTCTAAGTCAATATCTGAACATCCATAATACCCGTGTAAGAATTCTACATATAGACCACATCGCTACATTGGTTTGGACGTAAGTTTAGAGTTACTACGTATAAAATTAAAGTGAAGAAAAGTTATGGTACTCTAGCTAGAGTTCCTTACAGATGGCCCTAAATTAAAAATTGTGGTCTGTCATAAAGCTAGGTAAGTATGGTTGATGAAATGGACAACCAGTGAAATAGATCTACCTTTCTTTCCGTCTGTAGAAGCCACAAGTCCCCTGAAAAAACAGTCCCCATTCTCATCTCTGCAAGCATAACCAGCAATAGGAGTACGACATGACCCATCCAAGGTCTCAAGGAACGCTCTCTCACAAGCAACTGCTAATCGAGTTTCTTCGTGATTTAAAGAGGCTAGGTAGTTTGCCTGGAAAAAAAATTGGTTCAGAAAACAAAGGAAAGCATTAGTTTGGAAAATAGCGGGATTCAATATACCAAATAAAAGACGAAGCACAGAAGAAATTATTTGCATAATCACTGCCTGTTACAGAAACCAAAATAGCACAAATATTGAGAACATGAAGAAATAAAATCATTCATCTCCATTTTGACAATTAACTACAAGAAATAAAATCATTCATCTTCATCTAAGAATAATCGATTGCAGATTTAAAACTTGAAGCATCGTAAATTCAAAATAATTGACAATAAATTAAACCTTAGGAGCCCTACAGAAAATATCAGGCAACACGTTACTCCTCTAAGGCTCTAACTATGAGATCAATATAGTTCATAGTTGTGAATTTTCTCTCTCAATTTGATAGGGTATCAAATCCTAATTAATGGGAGTATTGCAAGAAAGTAATGCTTACAAGAAGCACAGAACTCAAGGAAACCTGAGTTTATCGACTTATAGTTTCCACTACTGTACCCAATAATTTAGTGTTCGATCAAAACACTTACAAAAATGTACTCCATATCTTTTAATCAAAACCTATAACTCTTGAAATCACGTCTGAATGACAATCTTATATAATTGTCCTTCAAGTCCCAACCAAACTCACCAGAGAGCTTCCCCATAGAATTCATGTAAGTCCAATTGCTTCATCATTCATTTAACAGGTAATATACACATAAACTCACACAGCATTTTCAAAATCATTTATAGAATTCAAACGAAAAAAACGAGAACAAATAAGGAGACCTTCTGATGGGCCTCATCACATGTAATTGCTCCGCACAGAATTTCATCGTCAAGGTACATAATTAAGTTCATTATACAAGCCAAATCAGATTCTAAAATGATAGTGAAAAGTAATACAGACTAGTCCAAGATTAATCTCTGCCCCCACCATAAACAATAACGATTACACTTTCAAACAAACAAGGAACTAATTTTACACATTCCAGATCAATTTTAATTTGAGCATCCCATTTGGACAAGTGGAAAAAGTTTAAGAGTTGATGAATGAACAAATAGAGTGATAAGCATCAGTATCCATACCACTGATAACTTGGCATATTTGCTAATTTGCCCCATTTATGAAAAATCAATGTGTATTTATGCTAAGGAATAACTTGGAATAATCAAACTTACCATCTTTTCATCGTGATTTAGGCAAGCAATTCCAATTGCTCCTTGAGCAACAGCTGGAAGCATGTCGTCAATAGAAAGAACAGAAGAAACATTCTCAGTCATATTTAATCGCTTTAGTCCAGCCAATGCCAAAAGTGTTGCTTGCACTAATCCTTCGTTAAGCTTTTTCAAACGCGTCTGTACATTGCCACGGAAGTTATCCAGTACCTACAAACATATACAAACCAAATCAGTAAGTACTGTTTAGTCAATGAAATTTAAATTTAAATGGATTTCCAAATTGTGAGTCGCCCTCCTCTGAAAAAACAAGTGAGTAAGAGAAAAGAAAACATCCATGTCTAAATGGATAATGCCAGCACGACCAGCAATGAGTACAATATCCAAAGGTTCACAGTATCATTACAGATTAATAAAGAAGTATACCAACTGCAGCAATTATGTCTGTACCAGAACAGCTAATCAATATACAGAGTAATAAGGGATTCACAATCCAATCCTAATTTTGCCATATTAACATCAAAAAAGCTTAACTTAATATTTTTTGTTACAAGTCACAAGTTCTTTTACATGCTGACGCAGTACTTTCACTCTTTCAGTAATCTACATTGTATCAGTTGAGAAGCTGGCCCTTCAATACAACAAGCTAATCTTGTTACTGGACAGGATTTTATCACGCAAAATTACTGCTATCAAACTTTGAACTTGAAACTTAAAAATACATAGACAAAGAATTAAATTATTATACGAAGTGCAAAATTTGCAGTCTGCCTTGTTTAATTCAGTACCAACCTCAATGAAACTGGCAATATGCCTTTTCATTTGTGCATTACTTTGTTAAAACAGACGACACCAAAGTATTTGCTCAACCACTGTAAAAGCCATTAATGGACACCAAGTTCACTCCATCAATGGGTTTTGTAAAAGGTGGAAAATACTTGTCTAAACAGATCATAGGAAATTGTACTTGCTCATCCCTTGAGTTACATGAGACTATAATGGGGAAAAAAGGGCTTGTTTTTCAACCACTATATTAAATTATTAAATGTATCACTCAGCTATAACAAGCAGGGTACATGAATTTCCTTTAGTTTTCAAGGCATACTAAGAATGATGGAGAAAAAAAAACAGTAAGTAGACTTACTTCAAGGGAAGGATATCTATGTAGTAATTGAGATTTCCTTCTCAGTGATGCAGTACCAACA